GAAAACATATAAATACCCAGTTGCTCGACTGAGATGAGCCTTCATGTCCATGATTCATACTAGATGTGAAATTATTGGGAGATAATCCATTATAGACACTGTCTACTTCATTCTTTTTCGGACTTCGTAGACGTAACTCAGTATCACCACGGCAGCAGCAACAGCAACGCCAACAGCGCTTTGTGCCAGTATGGTGCAGTCCTTCACAATAACCTTGGAACCGGAACTTGGAGTAAAACCTAGTTCAGAAAGCTTTTTGTGCGATACTGCATAATCTCTAAAGAATGCATCCTCATCCTGCAATATGCAAAACATCAGGCACTAATCGAATTCAAGACTATTCAGGGTGAACAATGAAAACTTAATAAGAAGCAATGGTTGCTGGCAAATGTTCAAACTTTAATGNGTGTCAACTGACCCCACATGGTGGATAAAGCTTTCAAAAATGGCATACCACAATTGATTTTTTATTATTATTATTATTATTTTTTAATTATTGACAGAGACACCCACTTGGAATTTTAGTTGTANTAGGTTCGGATCAAATAAAATCAAATTAAAGCTTCGGCTTTGAAAGAAAGGACGCATCAATGCAAAAGCATAACCTCCTTGAAACCAATCTGCCAACCCAATTTTTACGTGCATCCATCTCCAAGTTANTGGGTTCGGATCAAATAAAATCAAATTAAAGCTTCGGCTTTGAAAGAAAGGACGCATCAATGCAAAAGCATTACCTCCTTGAAACCAATCTGCCAACCCAATTTTTACGTGCATCCATCTCCAAGTTAAGAGAAACTTAAAGATAGAAAATTATGCTGGAATCAATTAGCACAGTTTAAGGTTGATCTACACTTAAATTAAGGGTCTACACTTAACAGCAACTAGTTAAACTCTAAGTTAAATTCGCTGCCAAAGACTCAAAGCCACTACATTTTAATACAAGTCAGCAACTTTCAATTTCGTAACCTCTACAACTTCAAAGGACCAAGTTCAATTGACTGAAACATGACACGTGCACCTCCAAAAAGCTTAGTTTCTCGGCAATTTCGTCCAGAACTTGGATAGGTAAAAAGAACCAGGCAACGGTACTCCTCTGACCTCTGAACCATGAAACTTATCCCATGACATTGAATCGCATCACAAAAGGAAATATGGCAACAACATTAAGTAGGTAATTTGATTGGGAAACAAAACATCACATTACCTTTGCATACAACTCAACATAATGACGAAACTCAGGATCATCCAATAAAGCCTTATCTGTTGGGAGTTTCAACAGGCCTTCTGATTCAACTGTCAGCAGTTCCCTGGTTCCAAATTATCAACAGCAAAATAAACGACAACAAAGTCCTCTTTATTCTACATAGTACTTTTAGGGATATAACATTAGAAAATCAAGCTAACTGCATATGTAAGTCTTACACGAAGTAAGAATTATCAAATTTTAAAGGCTCTCTAGTCCACGGACCATCAAAGCCTGATCTCTCTGGATGTGCTCTTCCCTATTGCACAAAATAGCAACCAAATTGCATAAATCCATGACACGGAAAGAAAAGCATAACGAAGAAACAGAGCAAACAATTTCAGAGGCAAAGTACCAGAGTGTGTGCTCCAGATAGTGCCACTATATCCTTGTCAGATAAACCCATCCGATAAAATATTTCCTTCAGATGCGGAACGCCTAGTAAACAGAAGAAAAAGTAAGATTAGATCTAGGGAATTTGTTCTAAAAATGATATGTTTTAACCCCCAACTACAATCACATGGAAGACAATTCCTTCAACATCTAAACATGCTCAAACAAGTCAGCATGCTCAAATGAAAGGGTGGGGGCGGGGATTCTGCAAGAGCTACTTCTGGTCATCTCACATGTTCACAAAGTTATAAGAGGAACTCCTGTAGAGTGCAGGCATGGTTCTTTTCCAACCTTATGTCTGAAATTTTCCTTTGAAACAGAAGAGCTCCCCAATCTTCCAAAGTAGCAAAAACAAGTGCAATGATAATAATGACCATGTGTACAATACTGATACTGCCGATCCCAATCCATGCAGGTCAACAGCTGTTTCATCCATTGGTTCTTGGTTTCTCTCTCTCCAAGATGAAAACAAGCAATAAACTCCAAAAGGCACATATGTGACAAAGAATGCCAAGGGCAGTGAGAAAATCCTGAATAAGTATTACAGCAAATGAGCTAATAACTGCAAGCAAAATACGCACTCATCTACCTCTTTCGGCAGGTAGATTCTCTGTTTTAAAAGAATGATTGTACTTTGTACTTCAAGTGCAATATGTTGAATCAGAACAATTACCGTTGCACCTAAAGCTTTAAGTTGTTAGTGAAGGCGCAATTTCTTGTTTTTCAACTAGCTGCAACAAGCGCCCACATGGTGGGCTGGTTGGAGATGCAGGGAGACTTGTTGCACCTCTAACAAGCCAACAATCTCCACCCCGAAGTAACTACCATGGGACTTGAACCCGTGACCATGCTTTGACACCCATTGTTGGATTGCAGCATTTTCCGATTCACCAAAAGCTTAAGCTATTAGTGAAGGCACACCATCTTTTTTTAAAGTACCTCAGCAACAAGCACCAACAAGGTGGGTTGGCATGCAGGGAAATTTTGACAGATCAACTGGCTGATAAGCGTTGTGTATGGGAAATGCAGTTAAGTTCCATGGTATGGTAGGAATGGAATGTGGAAATTCTAACAATAGGAATTAATGCCTCCCATTCATGGCAAACCAATAAAATATCCATAAAATTCTCCAAAACATTGTTTAAAGAAAAGCCTGAGGTCTAAGCACAAGTTTAATGTTTTCAACGGGTCTTTGATTTGAATTTCTATACAATAATGAAAACGAAAGTTCAAATTGAAGTTTCCAGTTTACTTCAAACGAGGAAGTACACAAATAGAATGAGATGAACTGATTGATGATTCAACTAAACACAAGATTGGAAAATCCATAATTATATGAACTAAAAGATACATGCAACCACTCATCCTAGTCTGTAATTTGTACACAGAAACTCAGCACTCCTTTGGCGGTTATGATGATGCAAAAGATGGGGAAAAGGGAAGGAACACAAGAAGCTAACAACAATTTGAGTGTGTGCGCGCGCGCGTGCGGATGAGTGTTTTTTTTTTACTGTGGAGGTTTTTTCCTTATTGTTTTTGCTTCGCTTTTTTATTTTTAAGGTTGACAGGGGAAATAGCTTTCCATCCTGTAAGATGATCAAAAATTTATATGATATTGGAAAAAAATATATATAAACCCAAAATTCTTAAATGTGATGCCTCAAGAGTCATAACTGAATCTTGACCAGATAGCAACCCGGATTTCAATCACAGTTTAATAAATAGAATAATAAATATTATATAGAAGCAGCACTCGAATACCTTTCCTAGCATCTGGTAGTCGACCTTCCTTGGGAGAAATCTTTGAATCCTAAAATAAAAATAGAAGCAGCTTAAATTGAAGATAGATCAACATCAAGGGGAAAGTATATTTGTCCTTCAAGGTAGAAAGAAAGGGCCTCATACCAGGCAACATGAAAACTATTTTCTCACTGTATGCACATACACGTACCTTTCTACCAGGAACAAAATCAATGGTGGGGCCACCCGTGACCTCAACAGCAACAACACCAGCAAGCTACAGAGTACAGACACAATCATGCATCGGATCTTCTTAATTACAACATATTGCACCAAATAATCAGTTCTTCAGTTTAGATTTCAGCAATTAAAAAAATAAGACAAAACTGGAAATAGGTGAGCAGCATTGCACAAAACCTCCAAGGATAACTATTTGTGCAATTATTATCTGTAATCTAATTACCACACTCAAGAAACGACTACAATCAGGGCTGGCAATTTTTTGTGTGTGGTTGGGTGTTGAAGTTGGTGACATTCTTCCATCACCATTAGCTGGACCGAATAAGTTGATGGAAAACTTATAGTCAGATCTATTGATTCCAAAAAAGGAAAACCAAATGAATATAAATAATAAATCTCAAAAATTTCTTTCATCAACTATCACCTGGTATAGGTCTGCATAGGTAATCTTCGGATGTTTAGATTTTACTTCTTCTGCCATCGGAAAGAAGAACCAACATCAAATAGATTTTAAAGATCTAATTTCAAGTCAATCTTAAAGAGGAAAATTGGAACTGCACATATCAACAAATTGGAGGTCCTACATAATACAACAAAATCAAAAAAAAAAAAAGAAGAGTTTGGTTTTTGTAATCAGACCATCCAATCATGATATTTTCGACATTATATTATCCCTGAAACCAGCAATACTTCAATTTCAAACTTCAGGATACGAACATTATCAAGCAGAAATTGACTGTTTATGGACCTATTAGACTAAACACACAGGTGTATCCATATTGTTTAGAAAAAGCACCATAACATGCCCCTTTAAGATATACTGGAGACAAGCTGAGTTTCCCAAATGCAAATGGGTGGAACAAAAATAACAATCTAACTTATTCCCACTAATGTAAACCACTTAACTAATTTGTCGTTCAAAAATGAAACCAACATGTTTGAAAATGTTAAATAAGGGTTTCAATGACACTATGTTATATGATTGTTTGAACAGCAATCATATATAGTCCCTATACTGCTAACTTGCAAAAAATAATATGATAGAGCTACTAGTAAACAAGGTATTGCGATAAACACATACGATAATACTATGTCATCTGTTGGAATTTGACCCAAATCTCTAATTGTCATATTTCAGTGAATAATACACTCATTTAATAAATGATCAACGAGAAGGAACGAAAAGATTTACCACAGAAATCAACAGCAATTTTGAGGCCACTATTTGCGCCGTGAAGTAATTCTTCCTCATTACGAATCGAACCATTAGGGCCACCCGTCTTGGTATTCACATCATACGTTCCCGCATCATGCCACCTTCAAGAAACAACAAAATCACAACACAATTCAAGTGGAACCAAAAGCCAGAAAAAGAGAGAGAGAGCTACGCCAAGCGGAGCATGATGGGAGCGCAGTTCTTGCGTGAGATGAGGGCACGGAGATCTCGTCGAGCCTTGTCAATTTCTTTCAAATACTCGGTGTTCACCACTGGCATCGCCATCGCCAAAAGCAAATCACTCTATGGAAATGAAAAATCGGATTGATTTGATCACCAGAACTGTGAATTCGCTGCACTAAAGAGAAAGAACAGAAGAGGAAATTATGATTGGTTTCCGAGGAGAGAGAAGGGAAGGGAACGTAGCAAACAGAGGCCGCCCATTGAAATGGATGCGGTCAGACCACCGATATTGGATAGAAGATAGAGAGACTGACGTCACACTCATGGGCCTGGGCCTCGTAATATGGGTCGTTTTAACCTGTAGGTCAAACCAAAATCCCATTCAAACATGATACATCACCATTTTAAAATTGACATAATTAAAAAATATGCATGATATATGGATAAATAAATTTCTCACACTTATAACATATTAAATAATTTTTTTACTGAAAAACGATTGAAAAAAAAAATCAAGAAATATGAAATATATAAAATTTATAAGTTCAACCTATTCTCAACCAGAGTGTTTGAACAATTTAGTAAAACCATGTTCTATAAAATACACTACAAATTAATACTTTTTAATAAAAAGAAGGTTGCTACATAAAAAATAATACTTTTTAGATATAAGANAATACTATGTCATCTGTTGGAATTTGACCCAAATCTCTAATTGTCATATTTCAGTGAATAATACACTCATTTAATAAATGATCAACGAGAAGGAACGAAAAGATTTACCACAGAAATCAACAGCAATTTTGAGGCCACTATTTGCGCCGTGAAGTAATTCTTCCTCATTACGAATCGAACCATTAGGGCCACCCGTCTTGGTATTCACATCATACGTTCCCGCATCATGCCACCTTCAAGAAACAACAAAATCACAACACAATTCAAGTGGAACCAAAAGCCAGAAAAAGAGAGAGAGAGCTACGCCAAGCGGAGCATGATGGGAGCGCAGTTCTTGCGTGAGATGAGGGCACGGAGATCTCGTCGAGCCTTGTCAATTTCTTTCAAATACTCGGTGTTCACCACTGGCATCGCCATCGCCAAAAGCAAATCACTCTATGGAAATGAAAAATCGGATTGATTTGATCACCAGAACTGTGAATTCGCTGCACTAAAGAGAAAGAACAGAAGAGGAAATTATGATTGGTTTCCGAGGAGAGAGAAGGGAAGGGAACGTAGCAAACAGAGGCCGCCCATTGAAATGGATGCGGTCAGACCACCGATATTGGATAGAAGATAGAGAGACTGACGTCACACTCATGGGCCTGGGCCTCGTAATATGGGTCGTTTTAACCTGTGTCTGCCGTCAAACCAAAATCCCATTCCAACATGATACATCACCATTTTAAAATTGACATAATTAAAAAATATGCATGATATATGGATAAATAAATTTCTCACACTTATAACATATTAAATAATTTTTTTACTGAAAAACGATTGAAAAAAAAAATCAAGAAATATGAAATATATAAAATTTATAAGTTCAACCTATTCTCAACCAGAGTGTTTGAACAATTTAGTAAAACCATGTTCTATAAAATACACTACAAATTAATACTTTTTAATAAAAAGAAGGTTGCTACATAAAAAATAATACTTTTTAGATATAAGACAACTACGTAAGAATGATACAAATGATTATCACCGGTCTATTTAGACAAAGAGTAAACGCCCTTATCCATATAAGAATGATACAAATAAGATCATTTTGGTCTCGGGAGTAATTTGACTTAACATAAAACCCAACGATTTTATCAAGTCTAATTTTTAAATCCATGTAGCATTACTCTTTTAAAAATTAGCAAAATGACATTAAGCCCCGACCCAATAAAATTTCCAGGCCATTTATAATTTTTTTGATATGCAAGGACTTGAATCACAATATTATCCAACATATGATCAGATGATTTGAACAAAACTGAAATATGCAGATCATATAAAATCATTCCCAAGTGTTTCAGATCATATAAAATGATCCTAAAAATAATCAAACAAAGCCAAACCTTACAACCTAAAATGGAAAAATAAAACAACCCAAATGGAGACACTCTGAATATACAAAGTAACAAGGAGCTGAACGTTTCAGTTACAATTGATACTAATGTTACACAAACACAACACAGTCATTCAGTGTCAAGGCCTAGAGGAAAGTAACTTTTCAATCATGATTCTATGCTCTACTCAACACAATGTCTCATTTAGTAAATGTAAAAAAGAACCCGGGAACTTAGGAAGAGGTTCTCCATTGCAGCTCAATTTGAATCCGTCCATTCTTGGAATCTATGAGATGATACTTCGAGTTGATCCTTTTGTTGCTAACAACGTCTGCAAGACTGATATCAATGTATCCCAAGATTTCCTGATTTCAAAAAGAGAACCGCACACAAGTCAAGCATTTTTGGCAATGCAATAGGAAATGAAGATGACGTCAATTAGAGAACATGTGCCAGTAATGGCATCACTCTTCAAAAAGACACGGTTGTCAGCCAACCTAAACAACTGCCCTTAGTGCTTAATTTTGAAAACTAGGCTCATCTATGAAGTGGAGGATCAGCCAAACATAATAACTGTATGATACAGGGATTTCCAAGACATCCAGTACAGGAAAGGGAGCTGCCCATGGGCTATGTACAATGGATCTCACTCACAGATAAAATATTGGATGGTAAAGAGATGTCCCAATCAATTTAGTTTATTCAGATCTCTTTAGCGGCAGCGCTCTCTTAAACCCACCCCCCCCCCCCCCCCCC